CTCGTCTTAAAGTTGCGAAGGTTGAGAAACACTGGTCTAGATTAAGGCTTGCCAAGTATACTGTCGCCGAAACGCATGGGAAGGAAGTTGCAAATTGCTGAAGTGGAGGCGGAACTTGTAGCCAAGGCAACAGAGCTTGGAAGCGGGCAGCTAAGGAGTGGGAAAGAGGACTGTGCAGAGGGCAAGTGACTGGCTTTTTCACAAACAGCAATACAGACATCTTTTGTGGCCACAAACACAGACATGGCCCCAGGAGGGGTCCCCTCCCTCATGCTATGTACAGAGATCCATGGAGACCCCTCTCCTCTCCCTTTTTCCCAACCCTGGGGACCCCCCAGCATCAGGGCTGGGAGAAGAGAACCAGGCATAAAGTTTGCATATTTATGTAGAAAAGATGTGGACTTGAGAAATCTGCAGCCTCCGGTTCAAAAGGGAGGTCCTGATGAAAGGAAGGAAGGAAGCTCTCTGACAATCGGTGGGTTTAGGGAGGCATTAATTTGCATGGGGATACTATATTCTGAAGAAATGGGCACAAAATCATACAGAGAATTGGTTATAGAAAACAGAGCAAAAATAGGTTTTTGGAACAAAGGATGGTGGGCAGAGGGAAGATTTAGGATTTTAGGGGAAAATAAATGGAGCCTCCAGCCCAGCAGATTGGAGTTCTTGTTGCATTTAGGGTAGAGAAGGCTTTGTGTCTGGGTGGATGCAGGCACACACACGTGTATGTATTTCTCTCTCCAGATAATTGCCCTGTACAGTTAACTTTTTTTATTGTAGGCCACCCAGAGTCACGTATGCAAGATGAGCGGCTATATAAATCTGATAAATAAAACTAATTTTAAACCAACCAACTAAGCCACTTTACATTCAAAATGACCAGCATCAAAAGCCTGGGTATCACTGGGGATTTAGTATCAACCCACGTTCTAGCTCTGACCGTTCCCAGCAGGTGCCATTCCTTTCACCAGGGATCCCCAGGGATCCTTATTGTTTCCCCCTTTCCGTGGGATTGCCATTATCGGAGGGGAGTTGAGAAGAAACTCGTCATTCATTTTGGAAGAACGTTCCCATGTGGGTGGGTCAAAGCAGTGAAGGGACACAGGGTTCAGAGTCTCAGAAGACAAGGAAGGGGATCTAGGCCTGGGGAAGTGAAGGGTCGCTGCACGGAGGGGGAAGTCTCTCAGTCGGAGAAGAGGCTGGCGAAGCTCTGTCGGAGGCTGCGGATGCTCTCGGCACGCACTTCGTCCTGACTAAGGCTGCCCCGCGGCACCGGTGCCTCTGCAAGGGGGAAGGTATTGGTCAGAGACTGGGATTTGCTAAGGAGCAGCGAGGGAGGAGTGGGGGGGCAGGAAAGAGGGGAGGGGGAGACGGAGAGGAGAGATGAGAAACACACTATTAAAATCAGGTCAGGCAACAGAACTTGCTTTGTCTGAAATGCTGGGAGAGAAAGGGGAGGTTGAATTTGGGAAGCATTGCCCTCCTTCTCCAGAGCATGGTAAGAAGCAAGAAGCACAGAGCCCCAAAGGGGGCAAGGCAACTGCACAGGCCTTGCCCCTCAAGCCCTAATTCAGTGCTGCAAAGGGTGGTGCGTCCAGTAGGAAAAGGCCACGGTATGGTCCTGCAGCAGGAAAACAGGACCAAAAAGCTGAAAGAAACTGGAGAGGAAAACTCGGGCATTTTCTTCTAATTCTAACTCTTTTTTTTCCCCCTTGTTCCATTTCTTTCCAGTTCTTTGAATTATGGATAGATCCTGTTGTATTTAAAGTGGAGGGGCATGAACTCACTGTGTGATTTTGGCAAGCTGGTGCTAACCAGAGCTGCAGCAAATATTTGAAGATGAAGTTATTCAGCAAGAAATGTTTTTCTAAAACCCCACGTGTTGCTGCACTTATATGTAGCTGTTTCTCCATTAAAAAAAAAAAATCTTATTGATCCTGACAAAACTGAGCTCATATAACCACCATAACTCAGAAACCCAATTGAAAGTGAGGGTAACACTTTCTGCTCTCACTCTGAACAATCAAACAATTTCATCCGTTTCCATGCCACCCCTTATAGGCTGCCAATAGGAAACACTTGTCATAGGCAGCACAAATGACTGTGAAATGGAGCTTTCCTAAATTTATGCTAACCCTTCAGCTTCAAATTTCACCTGCAAAGTTTGATTTATATATTTAGATTTTTAAAGTATTCTTTTTTAAAAAAATCAAATTTTCAAATTTCAACTCTGGAATGTGGTATCTTAAAACATTAGACTTCTTTGTGCTCCTTTCAGTATGATGACCTTGCATACGTGGAGAACTGAGTAGCTCGTTTTTGTTTTAGGAGGAGGCGTTATTTTTTATAAAAAAAGTACCGTCTAGTTCTCACAACTGCAAACAAAAGCGAACATAAAAAAAGCAAGACAGTCGTAATGATGTCAGTGAAGAGTTTCTTGTATGCAAGTGACTTTTCATTCTTTGCCCTGCCTTGTCATCCTGCTGCACCCAGTCATCTCTCATTTAATACCCTCCCCTGCCCACCTTACTGAACTTCTGACAAAAGCAAAAAGGACACAAAATGACAACACACTGAATTTGCAAAACATAGCCTGAATTGGGATAGGGGAGAGTGCACAAAGCACTGCTTGTGCCCTTGAGTACTGAGGTTACCAGATCATCACGGCAACCTATCAAACCCCTGCTTAGCTAGGAACAAAATCCCCACATTGCAAAAGTTAAGTCCTGGAGTCGGCCAAACCCTGTTCCCTTCACAGAGAACCCAAGAGTCCAACGCTTACTTCAGCTGGGGCTGGGGTGGAGGAGGCAGATCCTGACTGGGTTTCTGAGCAACTTGTGGCTTTCCTTGGCTGGGTGGAGGGCGGTTCCCTTGTTGCCCTGGGCCACCAGGGCCCTGCCCCTGAGTACTGGGCCTCGGCTGCTGGGTGGTGGGTGGTGCTGGGCGCTGCTGCTGAGCTCCTGCTCCTGGTGGGCGCTGCTGAGTCAGGCCCCCTTGGCTGCCCTGCCGTGGATGCTGCCGGGGGTGACCGCCAGCAGGTCCAGGGCGCTGTGCCTGCTGGGGCTGCTGCTGTTGCCCTGGGAGGCCCCCAGACGCTGTCTTGGGCAGGCCAGCCCCTGTGGGCCGCTGCTGCTGGGGGGAGCCCTGCTGCCACTGCTGCTGTCCGCCGCCACTGGGGCTCGGCCCTCTCTGGGGCTGCGGGGACTGTGGAGCAGAGGGTGGCCCCTGCTGGCGAGACTGTTGGACTCCAGGCCCAGGCTGGCGCTGCCCTGCAGGACGTTGCTGAGCCTGTGGCGGGGGCTGCTGGGTAGTGGGACTGGGCAGGCGCTGACCCATTGGGGGGCCACCGGGCTGTGGGGTAAGGCCAGAGAGCTGCTGGCCTTGGGGAGGGGGGCGCTGCTGAGATGGAGGACGCTGGGAGCCTGCGGGTGGCTGCTGAGGTCCTCCTGAAAGAAAGAGGGAAGATGTTTTAACATACCTAATCTGCTAGGATTCTCTCTCAACAAAAGGTTCTGATGCCTCCCTCCCGAGCTGCAATTTTTCCCAAAGCATAATTCACCTTGGGGTGGAGGTCTCTGTTGGGCTGGAGGGCCTTGTCTCTGTCCAGCTTGAGCCGGCTGAGTCTATGAACAAGAACAAACCAAAGCAGGAGTGTGCATCAAAACATATCCTTATTTCCTTCTATCCCACCCTGCCCAGCTATGCTTTTCCTATTTCTGCTATATTCCATTTACTTCATAGCATCATCTGTCCAATACAGGAATGTCTCTAAACCTTTCCCTACTATGGCTAGGCTGCCATTCAGACCTTCAGTCCAAATACATGGACAGATGACACGGGGGGAGGGGGGACCTTTCTCCATTGCAAAAAGTGAGGACAAGGTTGACAAACAGAGTTTTCCTTGCCCTTCCTTTTACCCAGATGCTTCACAATACATCAAGAACAAAAAAGGAAAGCATTTCTAAACAGCTGAAATTTGCTAGTGCCGGATGTGGTGATAGCAATTTAACTAAGGAAAAGCTTTAAAGCATGAGAGAAACATTCTTCTTCACAGCACAAACTGCTATGGCAGCCACCAACTTCAATGGCTTTTAAGGAACATTAGATAATTAATAGCCATTTTACTCAAGATGGCTATATACTTTTATGATTAGAGGCAGTATGCTGCTGAAAACCTATTGCCAGGAACCATGAATAGGAGGGGCTGGTGGCACTTGTGAGCTTCACAGTGGCCTCTGGTTGGCAATCGCTGTGGGAAACAGAATGCTGGACTACATCCAGGAGAGCTCCTCTTAAGATCTTGAAAGTGAGATTAGACCGATTCAGAGAGGACAAATCTACTAACATTTATTATTCGTGGTAGTTAGAATCTCTACAGTATTATACAGGAACACCAGGCGCTGAGACCATATAATTAGAAAGGAATGTGACTTTGGCTCATCGCGTAGATTTTCCTAAACCATCTATCTCTCCATTATCAAAAACCGATCCAGCAGTACGAGTCTTATGTTAACACTTGCTCACAGAGTCCCTCGTGCTGAAATCTTCTGCATCTTTTTGACCCACCAACTTTAATTGGAAATTTCAGGTACTGACCCTGGTCCTAAAGCAGGCAACCTGTGCTTTGTTCCACACTACTACTGCTGTAATCTGAACCCTACTGAACCCTGCCCTTCACTATGACAGTTTGCTGCTCTGAACCTGCATTTTCATCTTCCTCCATCTTCTGACTCTGACTCTTCTCCTTCAGTCCTAGTAAGCACTGACTAATCATAAACTACATGGAAAAACAAAAAGGGAGGAATGACCACTGCTGTATTTATGATGAAAGACAAAGTTGTAATACCTGGGCGTGCTGTCCGGAGGCAGAACGCACAGGGGAGGGCACTGGTGTGCGAGGGATGACCTGGGCCATGCGTGTCAGCACCAGCTCTACAATCAGCTGCTTATCTTCATCCTGATGGTCTCCAATCAGAGGCATGGATGATCCCACTACCTGAGGGAAGGACAGGAAGCGAGCTGTTCTCCTTAAGTAGAACATGTGTAAATTACTCTCCTTCTGCAGGAAATGATTTGTTAAAAAATGCCTATTTTAAAAATTAATAGCGCCAGCAAGTTAATAGCAGAAGTTTCTACTTGGGATGAAAACAAATAGATAATAAGGAATATTGGATGACATCCAGAAAATATCTTTCCTATGACCTATGATTCAGAAAATATGTTTCCCTGACACCCCCTCTCCCCTGCAGAAGATAATAATCTTCAGAATGGAGATAATAACAGATGATCACCATTACGGGATATTTGTTGAAAGGGTAATGTGTGCTGTGTGCATAAACATAAGCAATAGTGTTAACAAAACCACATGGTGCAATGGGTGGTGACTCAAAGAATACAGTCTGATCCATGTAGCCAGGAAGTAGCTGGAACTAAGCCAGTTTGTCTCATTGCCTGTAACACAGAAAACCAACTACACATCATCATCAATGGACACAAATATACATTCACTAAAAATATAGGAAGACGCAGTAGAATCAGAGTGATATATACATTTATCTCCCAAAGAAGGATCCATCAACCCTAACCTTAACCACCAGTTGTTTTATCCTGGTTGAGCTTTCCAACACACATTGAACTACATTTTTAATATGGGTCAGGGTTTTTCCAAACCATCCTCAAAATCTGTAGACTGTCTGGTAAATATCCGTAAGTTTTCTGCCTAACAATAGCAGCAACAGTGGCTCCCTGACAGACTAAATTAGTGCTGAAATTTTCTGAGTAAAAGGGGAGAGGGAAAGTGATTGGCCTAATGCCATCTAGTGAGCATCACAGCTGAAAATGGATTTCAAGTCAAATCTCTTTGGCCAGAGAGAGTACAATACTATCCTGGTACCCTAAAAACACATCTATGTTGAGGTTTCATTAATTCCAGAACTAATTAACAAACGGTTAAAAAGAGCTGATTTGCTTAAACACTTTCAATTAATTGATCATCCTAAAAAGAAACTTTTAAGATGGCTCTTTACCTTATATACTCTGATCTTCCCTTCTTTTGACAAAGAAGGTTTGCATTCCCTGGTATTTTAGCCAAAATATAACCATTCCCAGCACCTCACCTCAATGATGTGGTCACGTCCATCCTTGCCATGTAGAGCTTCTACTGCACAGATGTCCAAACCACCAAAGATTTCTGAACAAGTGTCCACCCATAGTTTGTACCTGCCAGAGAAGGGAAAGGATCAAGAATACAGTCAAAATTATAGACGTGGACAAGCACAGAGCCCTCCTAATTTTATCACTTTCACTCAGATATTTTTAGCCAAAAGAGCTTGAGAAACCACAGAAAAGAGGATTCCTCCCACTATCAGCCACTTATTTATAATCCCTTCCATCTACCCAATCATATTTCCTACCCATGCCACTCACCTATCTGACATGGCTATTTGCTCCAACATGGCAGAGCCAGTATTGGTTTTCCAGTTGCCTGAAACAGAGGTCCTCCTGCCAGGGGAAAGAGGGCATTGTGAGTATTAATTTCCAGGAAGAAACCAGATAGCATTTTTTTCCTTGGAAAAGGAGCTCAAGAACATCCAAGAAAGAGTTTGAGAGAGATTGAGAAGGGGGAATTAATTCAGATGGGGCTTGTCAGATAAAGGATGTATTAAGTATTGTGATGTAAGAAACTGAGTCCTCAAAGGAGGTAAATCCCAACCTTCACTCAGAGATAGCACATGTACAGTCCAAAAAAAAAAAAAAGGCTCTGTATCTCCCATAGTTTGTAAAAGTGGGAATTTCAGCAAGTATAGATTTTTTCAATCTTATGTGATAATGTATGTTTGCCAAAATTCCCATGTAGATCACTTATTAAAGATGCAAGAGCCCAAATTTTTGCATATGGTCACCTTTTTCCAGGACTGTTTCTAGAAAGTGATTTGAAAATGCTGACCAGGATCAATAAAGCTTCATGGAAGACATCATTCTGCTGATGGGAGGAGGCAAAGTAGAAAGGAAGTTGATTTAAGTAATGGTAGGGTCAAGAGAGGTCAAGAAGCTTCTACAGGGAAGGGGCATCACTCGTTAAGAGTAAGGAAATTAGCAGGAGGAATTTCTCCAGACTCACATGTAGGCTTTGTAGTTATTGCCAATCTTCTGTATACGGATATCATATTTGGCATCAATAAAAGGTTCTGAGGTGGCATAGGTCTTCGTAAGAGCTACCACACTGGCAATGTCCTGGAAATCATATTGGTTCTCCACCTTGACCTGCAATGCAATCAACAAACAGGAGCCTTTGGATTTACCACATGAAATATAAGCAAATAAACCTACATCACTCACATTTCAGCAACTGAACTTTGACCCCTTTAAAATCTGATTTATCCTCCCAAATTGCATGTTTTCTGTGTTTCTAGATGAGGTTTACTATGCCAATTTCTCTTCCTCATTTGATCACATTTCATACAGGATTCAGACAATACAGTAATGTCTTCTACTTATAGCCCACTCTTTCTTCTATTTATTTTCCCCAAAAAGTTAAGGAGGAAAGTACAAAATAAACGCACAATAGTTTAAACAGGTAGTGCTAAAAGCTTTCTATTTGGGAACACCTACTAACATCATTTTCTCAAGGATTCAGTCTGCCATCAAGAACTAGCAGGAATCCTATCCAAAGGTAGAAATTGCAGGAATGAGTGAGGGGACTGTAAAAGCAATTTGAATGATGATGACCGTTGGACACTCATCAAACTTTAGATTCAACTGGAGTGTATTGTTGGTGCATCCCCCACCTGCCTACAGGGCCATTACCACCAAATAACTTAAGGAAGCAGCTATCATTTCTGAAACTGGTTCAGCTGGACTTTCTCCTCCTCACAGGGCTATTGCCAGTCAGCTCTCTTGAGGGAAGAATCCCAGAAGTTTGTGTTTCACTTAAAATATTTGTTATATTTTTATATTGTTCATAAGCCACTTTGGGATTGCTCTTATCCTTGAAGATTGGATAACAACAACAGAAACAATAAAAAGATCTTGTTGACATGGTGAATTCTGTGGACTTGGCAGCCTTTGGCTCCTTGCCACGCCCCTCCCCCCCCCGCAAGTTCTGAGCCTTCCAGCTGTTGGAGGTCCTAGGCTGAGTGGAGTCCTCCTGGCCTTTTCATCACTAAGGGTCTTACCCTGTTATAGGGGGTGAGGGAGTTGGTGGGGCCTGGGTGGTCTCTTCCTGCTGGGGCTTGGACCTCCACCCCAAGACTGCCAAGTACATTGGCAGCTGTGGTTCGGGGTGGCCAGGGTCCCAGTAGGGTGGGGTGAGTCATGGAGGGGATTGAGTTGTTGTATATACAAGAAGAGGGAGATACTAGCATATGCATGCCTGGGCCTGGGAAGGAAACACAGAGGGTGGGGGTGAGACAGGGGGTAAGGGGGCAGGCAGGACCATCCCAAAGGTGACAGACAGAGGGAGATATGGCAAGAACCCAATGGTGGGCTACATTCGGGAACACCAGGCCTGCTGTTTCAAAGTGGTCCTGCTGTCCAGCCCTCAGCTTACATCCTCAATGCCTGGCAATTGGATCCTCAGTGGCTCTGGACTCCTCCTGTTGCTTTTGAATGCCAGGTTGGTGTGTAACAAAGCTGTATGGTCTTACCTTGTATGAGGTAAGGGGTTGACGTGGCATTTCTTACTGAAACCTGATCAGGCCCTGGCGGCGGGGGGGGGGGAATCCCCTCTTGGAAATGTGCCCACCTGAGCTTCGCACCCGCCAAGAGTCCAGAGGAGTTGGGGGGAGATGTCTGTTGCCATCTGTGACTCACTACAGGCTTTCAGGAGCTCAACTTCACAGGTAACCAGATGGAAGGCACTCTGGTTGAAGCTGCACTTTTAAAAGATGGCGGCCCTCCCTGCCTGAGCCGCTGGATTCTATTGCTGGATTGGCAACAGAGTCCCCAAGACTATTGGTGCTGGGGAATTTCAATTTGCCACCCAGTAATGTTGAGTCTAGGGCAGCACAGGAGTTTGCAGCCCCAGGGCAACCATGTGCTTGTCCCAAGCTGTTGATAGCCCGACACATACCAGTGGCTGCACACTGGATCTGGTTTTTGTGTTGGGGTGGTTGAGATGTGATCTGGCAGTGGAGAACATTAACATCACTCTGATGCCATGGACAGATGACTCTCTGATTGCCTTTTGATTCACTGTTGTCACCCCTCCCTGCAGAGAAGCAGGGCCTATTCAATTCACCCGCCCCAGACAACTGATGGACCCAATGGGGTTCCAGAGAGAGCTTGGGGTTTCCCCTGGGGATCTGGTGGTCAATTCAGCAGAGGGTCCAGTCTCTGTCTGGCATAGGCAGGAGGTTGGGGCTTTGGACCATATTGCCCCTATGCAGCTTCTCCCTGAGTGCCAATCCCAGGGTGTGTGTTCATTTACTGAGGAGCTCCAGGAAAACACATACCAGAAGAGAGACCTAGAACAGTACTGGAGGAATTCTCAAAACAAATGTGACTAGACATGTATCTCCCATAGTATCTACCTGCCTGATTTGATCTGGCAGGGTTGGCACTCTGAGTTCCTTCAATTAAACAATGCCATCTATCAGGATTCCAGAAGTGTACCTTCTCTGTAGTAGAACTTGCCCTCTGGAATGAAGTCCCCCCTGAGATCCAGATGGCTCCCACCCTGCTGGTGTTTCAAAGTGCCTTGAAGACCTGGCTCCCCCAAGCCTTTGGCGACAGTGAGTGAAGCCTCCTGGATTGTGTGGGTTTGTTTCTCTTTCATTCTTGTCTAATTCTTGTCATCTTTTATTCTTTTATTTTCGTTTCTTATTTTTGTGGGGTTTTTCACAAACATTGGACAATAGCTCACCAAAGCCAAATCTACTCATCCAGTCTGGTTATCCAGAGAGGACCTTCCAAAAACCCCCTACTTCGTGAGGTAGATGTATGGATAAGACGGCAGGCCTTCTTGCTGGAAATACCCTCCCTCCAGAACTTTGTACCGCCTCCATTTTGCAGATGTTTTGGAGCTCAAAGGCTCAATTCTAACAAGCCTTTGGTCCCAGTTGAATGGTAATAGGTAGCTATCTTGAGTTTGCTTTTGCTTTCTGATGGTATTTTCATTATACTGTGGGTTCTTTTTGTTTTGGCTTTTATTTGTGGTTGTATGCTGCCCAAAGGCCTCCAGGACTGGGCTAGGTCATAAGTACAGTTAAATAAAGAAACAAACAAAAAAATTCTAAATTTGTTCCTAAACAGAAGTAGAATCCGTTATAAATTGCAGCTGGAGCTGCTGGGAAATATTTTAAAACACTGAAGAGCTATTTGTTGCTGATTGGGATAGCTGATATTGGGAGGAGAGATTATTCTTCCCACAATTGCCCCTTGAAAGGGAGAGCAGACAGGGACCACAGAGCCAAATTGGGAATACACTAAGGTCTCACAAGTTTCTGCCTCAACAATGAAAATAACCTAGGAGAGAGAAAAAGAACATATTGTTGCTTGTAACTTGTTTAGAAGTACAAAGCAAGAGCTTAGCAGCTCTGTGGTCTAGGTAATAAACTTTGCATTCCAGGCAGAGCAGAGATCTAAGTGATCAGCATGTAAGAGATACTGAGATAAACAAAGATGAAGGCAAGCTAATTAATCTAGATCATTTTTTAAAAAAACAACTTTGAGTTGCCTTGCAGGGCCTCTCCCCACTGCTGAGTTGAACTGGCTTGAGTCAGCAGAAAATTATAACAGCATGAAGCTGGTTGACCCCACTGAGAGTCCTTATCCCTGGCTCTAAGCCTCAGTATCAGATCACTGCCAGTCCTGTGACTCCCCTCCAAGGTAGGGTTATCAGATATCTAAACAGGGAAAGGAGGACAGAGACAATTGGAAAGGAGGACAAATGGGGGAAAGGAGGATGCACTAACTGTTCAGGGTTTGAATTTATATTCGTTTGAGAGGAAGGGATTACAAGTGAGTAAACAGGCACACAATGGGGAATACACATTGAGAGCAATGTACTAGCCCAGGTTAAGAGGCAAAAGCCTTCAGCATGCAATTGATTACGGTCTTGTACATTTCAGGCAGCTACGCACACTGGGGGAGGGTACTAATTAAGGTCACAAAGCTGAGCTTGTTAACTTATTAGGGAAGTACTGCCCCCCAGAGAAAAACTGCTCAGGGAGTGATACTCAAAAAGCCAGGCAATTTTTTGATGTTAAGACTATGCCTGCCAGACGGAGGACATGAGGACCAAAGGAAAGACACATCCTCCTTTTGCTAGACATCTGGTATCCCTACTCCAAGGTGATGGGTGATCCTAACAGATTTTAATACTTTGGGGCTACTCTTGGATGGTGTCAGAAGAATAGGGGAAACACTACTTTAACCCTAATATGGCTAAGGATGACTGAGAAAACCTGTTTCAGAAAGCTGGGGACAACAGGAAGGCAAAAATCATGAAACATGGTAAAAAAAAGATGTTGCCAAGACATGTTTATGCCGTAGTTAGGTGCAAGTGGGAAAAGACCTTTAGAAAGGGATAACACATACATCAGCTTATCTTGAAGGAATATCTGAGTGAATTCTATGGTGGTGGTATGTGAGATTGAGAGATTGAGAGTACTCAGGGTCAGTTTTTGGGAACTATTATACCCCTCACCTTTCCCATTCCAGAATGAGCATGTCCCATCTTTACCACCACTGGATATTTGGAGGTTGTCAGCTGGAAAAAGAAGAAGAAAAAAGAATCACCAAAGGTTGACTATCACTGCAATTAGCCGCCACGGTCTGCCACAAAGGTTACTGCAATGCCAAGTACTGTTCAGTTCCATTAAAAGAAATTACAAGTTTATGCAAAACAAGGAACCATGTACAGTGGTGCTTAAAAATTTGTGAACCCTTTTGAATGTTCAATATTTCTAAATAAATGTGACCTAGAACATGATCTGTTCTCCTTCCAAGTCCTAAAACTAGATAAAGAGAGTCCAATTAAAATGAATCAAAAACATTATACTTGTTCATTTTTTTACTGAGGAAAATGATCCAAATGGCCACACACAAATGTGTGGCTTTGGATCATTTTCCTCAATGAATAAATGAACAAGTGTAAGTATGAACTGTTTTCAATCTTAATATGAAACAGGGGTCTTGTAAGCAGGTTGGAGTCAATGGAAGGAAGGCAGGCAGGCAGGCAGACAAGCTGGCTAGTTTGTTACAAGCCAATGTCTAACACTTGATTTCTTAACACTTGGTGATTTGTAGTTGAATGCATGAATACACTGAATGATATAAAACTCCACCAGTGACATCTGATCTGAAATGTAGCAGTTGTCTAGTAATAAATAAATCTGTATAAATCAGGTTGAAGTCAAGGCTAAATATATGCGAGATAAATGATTAGACAACGGTTAACTCAAAAAGAATATAGTTGCTCTATTTATTAATTTATCAACAACATCACTTTACTTTTCCAGACAATTGCAACTTATTCCGCATAACCAGCAAATGTTATTCTTACTGATAATTGTGCACAGAATTGGCTGTAGGCTATATATACACAGGAATCATGGATTCTGCGAGGCTTAAATATATTTCTAGTAAAGAGAACATCGGGATTTTGCCAAGATTTTGCCAAAGGTACTGTACAGTGCAGGTAAGTTGTAAAGAATGATAGTATTCCATTTGTTTGGACAGAAGTATATGGGATGTGAAGAAACTCTGCTGTATTTTTATTTGTGTGTTATAATGTTTTCCTGTTGCCTTCTGAGTAGGGTTTTAATGTAACTGAATGGCTCCATGCCTAGTTTTGCTATCAATCTTCCTATTTTTTTCCTACAGCTGGGCTGAAGGGAGAAGTCCTTGGCAGAAGAGCCAAGAACTTCCCAGCTACAGTAGACAGACTATCCTGGTATGTCATGAATCCAGTTTGACTGGAAGCACCCTATAGTGCATACAGGCAGTCCTTGAGTTACAACCATTTGTTCAGCGACCATTCAAAATTATAATGGTGCTGAAAAAATGGACTTATGGCCCATGCCCAAAGTTATGGCCATTGCAGCGCCCCTGCAGTCACGTGATCAAAATTCAGTCGCCCACACTTACAACTGCAAGGGCACTACAACTCCCCCCACCCGCCTATCTCCCCCCCATCTATGCCCTTTTGGCCACCCTGCACAGTGGCACTTGTCAGTGGCAGCACTGGGGCTGAAGTAGAGGCCCGGGGCCTTCAGCAGTCTCAGTCAGCTGCCACTGCTCCCAGGCTTCTACTTCAGCCCCAACACCACCACTGCTGCTGAAAAATGCTGCCTCAAGCCCCACACTGTGGCCAGCTACCCCAGCACTACTGCACAAAGCCCCAGTTGCCCCCGCTGCCCTGCACTCTACAGGCTCTGCCACATCCAGCTGACCTTCACCATTTTCCTCCCACTGCTGATGAGGTGTGCCTGGCCTGACCCTACTGTATGTGAAGCAGCTGCTGGCCACCCCAGGCCTTCTTCCTGCAGCCATTCACACCATTCTCCAAGCCACTCATGCCATTTCTTCTCCAAACTGCACGCCCCATTCTGGTCTTCCCCAGGTCTTGCAAGAACAAGTACACTATTTGGGGATGGCAGGAACCCCGTTTTTCCAGTGCTTTGGAAGACCTCACTCTCCAAATCATGTGCCCCATTCCTTCTCCAGCCCTGTCCTTGAGAAGGGAAATTAGCTTTCTAAACTCCATTCTTCGAGCTTCTCTCTCCTCCTTTCCTCTTTCTAGACAATCTCTATGTTCAGCCTCACGCCATTTGCTCTCTTCTTTTCTTCTTAAGAGATGTGCATGCTCTTCCCGTTGTTGCTGAAACATTTCCTTCATAGTACTGGACTATGGTTCAACTGGGTCAGGCTTGCTTTCATTTTCAGCCTCTGCTTCATAGCTTTCCATTTGCTTCTCAGCAGCCATTTTTGCCTTTTCTTGCTCCATCTGTTGGTGCCTGGTATAAGCTCGAGTCTGAGGAAGTGCTTGTAAGGCCAGGGTATTAGTAAGTAGGTTTCAAACACTGGTTCCTGCTTGGCCTCCTTATCACACACCTCTTGGCATGTCTTGATCACCTCTGCACTCTTGGATCCCACTGCTACCACCACCTGTGAAGGTCTTTGCTTTCCAAGGACTGGACACACCACAGCATAGCAGATTTGTACAGCATGCTTCATTATGGCACACACTTTTCCCAACACCAGGCTACTGCTCTGGGTTAACTCCACCTTTCTAGGCCTTGCAAGTTGATGTTGCCACGTAAATACATCTTTAATACTCAGTCCTTTAATACTCAGCCCAAACAAAAGTCTCAAAGTCTGTAAAGTGGCGTACAACCTTTGTATCCTTCCAAAAGTTCTTGCACTAGTTGGGATGAGGTGCTGCCTCAGTGTGGTTGCTCCTTTTCTGGTTGCTGCCGAGCTCCAGGCCAAGCTCCAAGCTCCGCTCTTAAGCAGCGTTGCATTTGAACACTCCAGCTGAGCTCCCAAGCCAAGCTCCAGGCAGGAATCCCGCCAGGATATGCTGCTTACCATAGCTTATGATCTTGGCCATTGACTGATACTCCTCTTGCCTGCCTGTAACAGTTGTCAGTCTCCAAATGCCACCTCCCGCTTCCCTGTCTGCTTGCCATTTTCTTATCTCCTTTTTTCCTATACACCCACACACTTTTGCTTCTGTAAGCTAAGGGCCTGGGTGGGGTGAGCCTGCCTCTGGACATCCACTTGTCCTTGAAAACACCAGGGTGTGGCTCAATTAGCCAGGCAGCTGGAACGTCAGCATGGATGCTTGTAAGTAAACATGAGTGAATGAATGAATGAATGAATACATGAGCCAATCTCTCAGGTTTTTACAGCCCTTTGGAAAAAAACATAACCTGTGCTGAGCCTTGGGGAAGTGGCGGGGGGAGTGTTTCTGCCTGGCTGCAGCTGCTTTTCCCAAGTGCAGACAGCAATCCCAGCTTAACTTCCTTACAGATAGATACCTAGTCCTGAGACAACTGATCTGTGAAAAGGTCCAACTTGAACTTCTGAGTCAGGGTAGTAAACTGCTATGTATTCTTACCCTGCCACACTTTAAGATCCAGTTTATTGATAGTCTCTCCTTTCTGCCCCTTAAATTAAGCAAAATACCCAAAGCTTTGGGATTTCAGGGCAGCAAGAGGTACTTTCCCCATTTGTTCAGCACAATGGATCACTCCCCAATGCCAAGTATTACAATCCTGAAACCATGATGAAAATTTTCTGAAATGGCATGTTGCTAATGCAGGTAATGTGTTTAAACTGAAAAAAGGTCCTGGCAGATAAGATGTAGAGATAATGAGGGAGGCTTGTAATTGATTTAGGAGGCAAGTGATGAAAACGACACAACGCGAGTTTCTCAGAGGTGTAAGGGAAGATGTTGTTGAGAAGACTGAGATTCAGTCCAATTGTCCCTTCCAGTATGTTACATTGGCCTTTGACCTCCAACTGCATGGCTCCTAGTGTTCTGTTAATTATTCACTATACTTAGTTCTTATTGGGATCCATATAGGGTTAGGGCTAGGGTTAGAGTTAAGTTATTCACTCTAGGGTGGACTAGCAGCCTTTCCTTGCTGGGATTAGGTTAAACATGTCATATCCCGTAGGTGTCATATCCTTGTGACACCAGAATCACGTGGCTGGGGGCAAGCATGTCATATCCAGTTAGGGTCATGATCTGGTGATGTCAGCATCACGTGGGGTTTGTTTGTTTAGTTTGATGGCATCCCTGATTAAACAATTAAAATTAGTATAAACTATTACCACTATCCTTTGTTTCTTTGGCAAATTCAATCCTATCATTCATTGTGACTCACAGAAAACATGAAGTAGCTTAGAACTACTTTGCTTTTTTAACAAAGGCAGCACAACTAATCTGTGTGTTCTCCCAAGTATTTTGAACTAGGAAAAATAACTAGGAGGATATGAATATAAAACTATATACACGTCTGTTAGGACAACTGCCCACAGTCACTGGGAGTCAGGCTGCATATACGGTAAATTTAATAAATTATTGTTGGTCACACAGTCAGCTAGATGTTTAGACTGGATTTGGCATTTTTGTCCACTTATCGAGTCCTTCCCAAGGACCTGGGATAGGCAGATGTTTACTAATATTAAAGGTACTGATGCAGGATGTAAGCTGTTCCAGTAAAGCTGCCTTTTGCAATTGACTGATGGTGATTTTGTCAATGCTGATGGTGTTCAA